GTTATTTATTATTCGATTTGTTTTACCGAAAAATATGAGGAGATATAGCTAATCGGATGTTTTCATTAGGTACATATACTGATTTAATGTGAAAGACTGTAATGCACACATAGCTATAAAATGAAGAAAACATGGTATGTATTACATTTTTTAACTCTTTCTTTCAATTATATATATTGGATGTTATTTTTTCGGTTTTAGTAAATGAGTTTTATACTATCAGTCGTTACACTTGGACGAAAGGAAATGAAAACTTTTATGAAAATAAGAAGAACCAGTAAGTTATAACTTCTTCATACTATATGCTTTAAATGTGTTTTTAAAATTTGTTAGTTACACATTCATTTTTATTTGTTTTACCAACAAATATTAGAAAAGAGCTATTGGATGTTTTCAATGGTTTTTATCGTGCAATGGTTTAATCAGGTGTTTAAATTATGTTAAATAATAACTATAAATTAGTTTTAAAAACATGTTAAATACATTCAATTTAATTTATTTTTCCACATAATATAGGGAGATAGCTGTTGTATGTTTTCATTTTACTTTTTTCATTGGAATGGAATTGAATTCAATGTGTTATTGGTGCTAATGATACCATTCAAAACAATCACAACTATAAATAAAGAAAACATGGTACGGATTATAATTTTTAACGCTATTATTCCATTATGATATAAATGTATTTTTAAAATATTTTGAACTATATTGTTTAATTTGCTCATAATGGGTTGCAGAGTAATGAATTAACAAATGTTCGAATATGAGTGTAGAACTGTTGTACCAAAGAGCTTAGTTATTAATACACTTTTCTCCTAATATCATTAGAAAATATTATAGTCTTAGTATAGTTTATTTATTTAAACCGTATCTTATTGGAACGTTGTATACTGTGTTATAAAAACTATCGATATGGTTTGCGTTTTATTCATACTTTATACATCTCAAAGTTGTCTAATATGAAATTTTATAACACACAAGCTTAGAATAATAAATATATTGAAATGTAATATACAGAAAATTGGGAAAAATGTGTAAGACACGCAGAAAAACTACAAAATATAGATTTTGAAAAAGAAGGATTTAGAGATTGCATATTGGAACCCATCATTTTAAAAATCGACTAAAACGACAGCGATTGGAGCAGCAGTGAAGACGAAGACTGCCATAGACGATATTTTATTTTATTATTATTATTATTATTATTGTTATTACTATTATTTTTAATTAATTCATGTTTTTATTGTGTACATTAAATTGTATATATTTTTTTTAATATCAGTAAATACATACACATAATTTTTATTTTTTATTATAAAAATATGAGTTTAAAATTTTATATTTGGCGCGTAACAGTTTGTCTACCATTAACGAAAAATGGCCACTGGGGGGCTTGGGTTAGTTATCCTCATTGATAAGAAATAAAAATCAAATTTCCAAATTCATTGGTACCAATGTCAAAAATAAAATTCTCACCAATCTAACCTCTACAGTGTTATTAACATAATAATAAAAAAAAATCCCTGAATTTCAAATTTATAAACCAATATTTTTGTAAAAATTAAAAACAGGTTTGTTGTATCTTTCCATATATGAATGATGAAAATATTATAACTTGAATCTTAATAGTTTACAATAAATTACATACGAGACAAAAATAAATGATTGCCGTCATCTAAATTTCAAAACCTATATAAGGCAACAGTAACGGTGATCGAGTAGTCGCGGGGTGTCGCGGCTAACGACAAGTTTTATTTAAAAGTAAATTATGTGTTTTATTGTGAGACTGAAGTAATTATAATCTAATTTGGTTTTAAATTATAAAATATTTGTTTTTAATTTTTTTCCTAGTAAATTGGGAGTATCAAATCCTAGTGTATGTACTGAAGCGTTTATGGCGATAAAACACTTTTATAAAGTAACAAGATGTTTCTGAACTTACTTTCTCATCCAGTACTCGTTATCGTGGTTAGTTGTTCGAGAGTAAAAATACTTTAGAGTTATAAAGTATAAATCCTGTGGAACTTGTTAATTTGTCCTTTTGTATAGTACTCGTTATCGTGGTCACCAAAAGGAGAATTAAATAAGTTTTAACCAAAAGGTATCGATATTTATTCTTTGACGGTTTGAGACTCAATAATTGAAATATATCTGTTACATATGTCAAGCCTTTGTGTGGCGTATACGACAGGTCATACTGTAAAATACTATAAATACTTTAAGTAGATCAAGTTTACCTATGTGAAAAATGTTCGTAGGGCCATCAAGTGATCGACAAAACGCGTATGAAAATATAAAATTTCTAATTATTTGTCAAATTTGAAATAAAATTGTTAAAATAAATTAAATTTTCACTTATTCACATCTGCTTAGATATTATTATAAGTTATTAATATTTTCTAGAGAAATACACCAGTGCTTCTACAAAAGTAAAATCACGTAAAGCATTTAATACAATGGCTGTATTAATAAGCAATAATAAGAACCATTTAAATGTATCAATTATATAAATTGTAAAAAAAAATATGATTAATAACATAAATAAAATAATTAGGTAATTGGAATAACTCCTCAACCAACTAATTTCAGTCTATGGAAATATTTTGTATAAATCCTGACTATACACTAAACTAAAAAAATGAAGAAAAACAATATGAGCATCATGTTATTTTTTGAAAAAGTATTAACAAAGGATAAAATTTGATTTGATGTATTGATATTTCAACATTATCACATACATATTTAAATATAAATTATAATATTAGTGTTGATACCTACTCCCTATAAGCAAAGCTTAGTTGGAAGTATTGAGTCTAGTACATAAATATTTATAACATTCAGATATTTTTTTGGCGGAGCACTAATCAGCTATATATTAAATTACAAAATAAAACCATAATAGCATCAACATATGAATTAAAAATCCATAAACTAAACCTACAACTAAATTAGATTGTTAATTTTAGTTGTCTAGCTTCACCAGTTTGCCACAATTGGAAAACTTATCTATTACCATATCATCCATTATATTTACATATCTATGAATGGATAAAAGACCATAACTCAGGTGTAGCATTCTGAAGATATTTTTTCAAACTCCTTAACTTCTGTCAGCAGTGGCAGTTAAAAATGGAAGTATTGACTGTAATCAAAAGAATCAAATCATATTTAAATACCATACAGTACACACCAATAGAAAATTATAGATAAACAGTATTTACAATATAATATTTTTAAAATTAAAAGTAACTGTGTTTGGGTTAAAAAAATATTTTAGTTCCAGCAATAAATATGAAATATTGTCATATCAATGTTACATATAATCTTCATCAGCTAATTAGCACTAAAACTACAGTGTAATAAAAAATATAATACTTGTACATTTAAAATAATTCTCATTAGATAACTTTTGTCTTTTATGAAGTATTTAAATTATTTTCATACTAATTGGGAAATAACTATTCCCAATTAGTACTAAAGGAATTGAATGTTAATAGTTAATACAATTATAGTGGAATCAATGTTTGGTATGTATTTTATAATATTTGAAATTAATTAGATAGTTATTAAATATTACATTTTACATAATATTTTATATGTAGCTGTAAATATATAAATGTTAAAAATAATAACTATAATTTATTGAACAGAATACACTGTTTAAATATAAATTAAAAAAAAAAAAAAAAAGAATAAAATGTTTAACAGTTATAGATAAATATTGAACATTCAAAACTAAAACAATTTAACATGTGAATAAAGTTAATAAAATTCCAAAGTATTTCAACAAATATGACTAAAACTGACATCGCATTCACACTATAGTTCTATAAAATCTATTTCATTCAGAATTTATAGTCTTGCACAAGATATAATTTTAACAGGAAAGGAAACTATTGCCTAATGCAACATCAAATCAGCTATCACCATAAGGTCCATAATACTCATTGAAATACATTTAGAGACACTAATACATTTTTGAGAGCATCATTATCAGTGTCACCTAATCAAAATATTGGTATATATTATATTAATTGTTTTATAATAGTAAAATCATTTTTAGACTATGAAATAAAATATATTATTAAGGCAGAGTACATACATAAAATACTATTTTATAAGAGTTATATATCATGTATACCCATAATTACGGTCTTAGATTATTAGGTCTGGCAACTTGATAATGGAATCCGTGCTCTTAATGACCAGACAGGGAATAGTTGTCACTACACGTGTCACTATCTAGCGGATTAATGTTTTTAGTTATTATTATTAACCGGGGCATTCATTCTGCAGCAGCTTTTCCATTGTATGTCTGTATTAAAAAGTACTAGCGGAGTAGGTTTGGACTTATTAGTGTACGTGTAGCATTTACAACTACAACCTACACGGCTTTACACTACTCATCTAGTCAGGGAGAAACATGTCTAAGGGAGAGGTCGAAGTCATATTTTATATTTTAAAATATGTAAACTAACACAGAAAAAAAACATTGTAAAACTAATACACTCATATCCCCGCCTAAATCTAAAACATTAAACAAAAATTGCGCCAAAAGTTGTTAAAACAAGGGTTTATTGTTAAGTAATTTAACTTAAGTAATGAGTGTTATTGTAGATTATAACTTTTGGAGTTTTTTTTTATATTAAAAATCAGTCTGACTCTTAGTCATGATGTCAAAAAAATGTGCCATATGCAAAATAGGTACAGAAGAAGTACTGACTATTATAGTCACTCAAAAGCGTAGAGAAAATTGGGAATTTATAGTTCCAATTCCCTTATTAGTAGGTGATCAAATTTGTCAAACACATTTTCCCAAAGCTTTTTTAATAAAAGAAAATATAAAAGACGGTCCAGAACAAACAAAAAGTTCAAGAGTAAGTTTTTCAAGCTAAAATGAATAATATAAAGTTATTAAATATTACATAGGTATGATAAAGAACATAAAAACATATATAAAATGTGTTATATAATAAAATTATATATTTATATACCTAGTATATTACATTATTTTATTAACATAATTCTTTTTTTAACACATATTTTTATATTAAGGTACTTTTAAAACCAGATGCATATCCTATAGTTGAATTTGAAGGTTTAAGTAATAATATTCCTGATACTTTTGGTGCAATTATTGATGAAGGCAATATACATACAAATCAACTGCCTTCAAAATCAAACAGTGTTGTAAAAAAACTGAATATTAGTCATGAGAATTCCTATAATTCTGATGAATTAGCTCTGCCTATTTTGCGTCTCTCCCCATATAATGTTTCTGGAATGGTAAATAGTAACATTAATTTTATATTTTTATATTTTATTTTAGTTTTTTACTCACATATTCTGTCATAATTTTGCTTATTCTTAGAAACAATATGAAAATAATAAAACTCAAATGTGTAGTATTCCAGTTCATACACATTTAATAAGAGAGCCCAACCTTGACCATAGTAAAATAACCAATTCTATAAAAAATATTTTTGAACAAGTTTATTTAAATATGGACTCTATGCTGTTTCCTTCAAATTGGTGCAGACTCGTTCCTGGAAACAATAAAAGTGTAATATATAGTAAAATTTTATTAAGAGAAAGTGATTTAAAGCCTTACACTAAGCAATCTGTAAGCATAGATGAAAAAGCAACAATAAAATTCAAATGTAAATCACAAATTATAATTTTTAACTTTAAAACTAAACAGATACTTCAACGTTCTCTGGACTAGTTGAACTCTTGGGAATCTAATTTAGAAGCTGAGAAAATTGAATCTCAAGATTTTTTAACAAAAAGTATTTGTATATATTTGTATAAATTATTGAGTGTTATTGAAGATGAGTTGATGAACCATATATGATAAGTAAAACAAGTGTTTTTGAAGATACGATAAAAGCCTTGATAACCAAGTGTGAAACGTTCACATTTCCATTTGCGGAACACAAAGATTTTATTTTAGCATACATTATAAAATATTATATCAATATGAGAATGCGTCAATGGACTAGGCAAACAAACCAAGAACAGCTAAAAGAAAATGAAAAAAAAAAGAAACTGTCAAAATTTTGTAAATCATAATCTATAATAATTAATATTATACATACCTATAAATTAAAAACTCAAAAGTTGTTAGTTTTTTTTAGAGTTTTTAGACTTAGTACTACCTTAGTCCATCAACATTATCCTTTAATCGTGCTAAACGAATAATTTTAATTTATAATACAAAATAAAAATTTCACATAAAATTAAAATCAGATAATATCTATATCGTCATATATTACTGATAGATGGCAGTACTAGTATATAAGAGTTCCCTGTCCCATCAATAAGAGCACGGGTTAATTACACGTTAATTTCATAGGATTTCATCAAGTTGCATAGGGCTGGTTAAAACTGTGCGATCCGACTGAATAGTTTTATCTATATGATAAATTGTTTTAATGGCTAAAACACACACCTTCAGTTAACACTGTGCAATTTGACTGTACAATCGGAATAAATCGTTATTAGTAGTCCACTATGGCGACGACAGATGATGCTGTTGCAATTCTCAGGCTTGTAATATTATTTAACTATGCAGTTATCAGTTTGTCTACAAACACATTGTCTTATCTGCACAGTTTTATTAATTGGTTTTTTAAATTTATTTCCAATCAACTGCAAAGTTCTAAAAATTACGTCGTATTAACCTACACACGTATGATTTATCTGTACAGATAAAACTGTTCACTCGGATCGCACAGTTTTAACTGAACGTGTGTGGTCCCCTTTACACTGAGAAATATTATGATATATCTTACAAAAAACGATGCCAACAACTTGTTTACTCATCCATTCTATTTTTTAATGAAGTGTTTAAATTACTTATTTTGTAATATAAGTAACATAATAATATACTTTTCCTTATTAATGTGGTTATTGAAACAATCTTTAAATTATCTCTTACAGAAGCAGTAAAAAAAATGAACACACATAATGGATCCACAAATGCACAAATTGCAGCACCAATAAAAACATATTTGTCAGGTGCACCTTCTCGTCTTTTTGAAAAATCAAAATTAAATCAAGAAAAAATTGTAAAGCTCTAATAATTATTGTTTTGTGCATAATAAAATCAAAATTATGTATAATCTACCTGATTTTATATATTTTTTTTTTTTTAATTCCGACATGATTTTCTTACCTTATTTTATCAAAATGAATATTATGACATTTATATAAATTGAATTACTATAATGTACAGTTACTTAAGAATAATTAATATGTATGTCTATATTATATACCTGAAATAAATTTGTATTTACTCATCTATATATTCTAATATATATGTGTAATGTGTATAGTACATTATTATGGTATCTGTTTTATGCTGATAGTAAATTCATAAATGGTTACATTCAATTATACCATTGCAACTACAGTATCTTGATTTTTATAAGCACATGGCTTTCATGTATCCTAATGAAATAATAAATTATTATAAATAAGACGGTCTAATGAGCATAATCTGTTATATTGGAATATGAATTAAATATCAAATTCATTTTTTGCATATTTACGATTATTAATAATCTCACAATGTAATTAAGGGAAGAACATTTTTATAATATTATTTGAATGTTTGAAAAAATATTATAATGCTTGTATAATATTTTAATGTCGTACAATTTACGTCATTATAACATTTTTATTATAATGTGTTAAAAATATTATTCAAGTGTCATTATTATATGAAATTGCTTTGGCCAATAAATATTTCTAAAACATTATTTTAACACCTCTGTTGTCATGAGGAATTGAAATAATAATATTTTTATATTATTAGTAATTTTATTGACACAATATTAAAATAACGTAATAATAATGTATTTTTGCTATCTGGGGTGTTTAATGTTTATTGTAGTAATGTAGTGTACCATTAAACAATATTTATATATAACGATAGTTAATCACTAAAATGTGACACAAAAAAAGCAATAAAAATTGCTTAATATCAGGATGAATACAGGATACATAAGAGATTATTTTAAGTTAACAGTATTGTTTTCCATATAATCTTAATTTGATGATTTTCATTATTCTATAAGTAGTTACGACTACGGGTTCCAAGAGTGAAGTATTGACTTATGAGTTACGTGTGTATACTAAAATCAAATATATATAATAATAATAATAATAACTATATTTGGAACTTCTATGAAAAAATAAGAAATTAAGTTTAAAAATACCAAAAATATTTCCCCGATATGAAAATACAAACAAAATGTTATACCAAGAAATTATAATTACTTATTAATAATACACGAATTATAATTATGAATACAAAATGTATATACATAGAATCAGGGGCCCTGATACATTTTAATTAAATGTTGTATAATACTATGGTCACAATATAAAAATATTATGATGAAAAAATCAAAAAGATATAAAAAGAGAATAATATTACTTTTGAACATCACGGAAATGTGAAAGTATTAAACTAACGAAATGTAAAAACAAACTACTTTTGACATTTGGTTAAAAAGAAGACAGAAAAAGATTTAATCTATTCGTTCGTACAGATGCCGAACGGCTTACCGTAGAAAGTTCTTTTGCCCGAATGTCTCGTAACAATTTCCTCGTAGATTCAAATATCACTAATGACGAGAGAATTTCATACGTCTGAATCTACACAAATAAAATCTCGTGTCGTTGTATTTCGTTACGTAGGCGTATAAAATTTCTTAGTTAAAACAAGTTTATACGAAATGATTTTTTAAGCACACTCACTCCTTTTTTTAAAGTTCTTTGATTAATAAGTTAATTTATTTGTATATGTCTGAGTTATGCAAAAATGGTTATATGGTTCATTATTCTTTTCATTCACAAATTTTTGTCTAGGCATATTTTTTTTATTGAGTTTTATAGTTTGGTTATTTCCGTTTACATTTCGAGGTAAACGATACATTTTTATTTTTATTGAAGAGTTTTGAAACACAATTTTAATTAAAGCAGAAACAAGACACCAATCTTTTTTGTCTAGTCCAGTACATATTTTTGGTAAAGCTAATACATTTATATTATTTTTCTCACAGAATTGTAATGATGTGCATCATTCGATTGTAAAAGACGGCTCTCGAGAGCCGATATCAACAATTGCTAGTCTTAACAACTGCATTAATAATAAAAAGTACTTAAAATAAAAATATATTTATAGTATAAAGAAATAATACCTACAGAAGTCTTGATACTAATTAAACCCGAGAGTGTGAAATCAATAATCAAAACTATCTAACAAAGGAAAAACATTTTAATAAAAAAAAAAAATTTTTTTTGAAAACATTTTTTAATATTAATGAAATCCGAGAGTGGAAAGTTAAAAAATAAAATTGTCTTATTCAAAAAAAATTTATATGAATATTTTTTCTATTACTAACAAAAAGTAATATGAATAACAAATTTTTTGATATTATTATAACCCGAGAGTGGGAAAATAATTATCAAAACTATATTATAAAGGTAAAATTTTTTTAAATTTTAAAGATATTTTCTAATATTAATTGAACCCGAGAGTAGAAAATTAAAAGAAGAAAACTGTCCTAAGCAAAAAAAAAAAAAAAAAAGCCATTACAAAAAAAGTAATACTAATAAAATTTTTTTAATATTAAATAAACCCAAGAGTGGAAAATTAATTATTAAAATTATATAATAAAGTTAAAATACTTTTAAAATTCTAAATACATCTTTTGATATTATTTAAAACCGAGAGTGGGAAATTAAAAAAGAAAAACAATACATATGTCTGAAACTGAAAACAATTACATACAATTTAATAACATTGATTTTTCTAATATTTCTACCGGTTGGGTTCACAAAATAAACAAAGAAAAATTAATTCGCAAATTAGCACGTAGAAACTTAATCACCTCAGGTTTAGTCATTGATTTAAAAACCCGACTACTTAATTATTTAAAAGGCGAATCTTCCTCAAACGATTTTGATACACTAACAAATATCACATTTATTCCGAACCCAATAGGTGATTACGAAGAAACAGAAATAAAATCCAATATGAGAGATAATAAAAAACCTTATTTCAAACCAGGAAAATTCATGGGTGCCTTCTCTAAAAATATTGATACCTTTTTAAAAAATTATCACAGAGCTGCCCTCATAAACGGATGGTCCGAAAATGAAAAAACCCAATATATTCCAGTATTTCTAGAAGATTCGGCTTATAGCCCGTTATAATTTGTTTCATGAACATTTTATCACTATTTGCACGATCATGATGGTGATAAAATTGTCTTTCTGGTATTGCGATTATCAACCGAGGGATAAATATTTCTGCAATGCGGTACATTCCAAGTTTTTCAACTAAGAGTCCACTTTCTATATACCTACCTTATAATTTTTAATTAAAAACCATCAAACTATACATATATTATAATACTCCAAGCTAAGCATTTATTTATATATATTAAAAAGATTAAATTTTTTTTTATGTTGAACCGTTTTATCTAAGAACAATGGTGTAATTTATATTTTTCTAGGGAGTAAAAAAAAAAGTGTTAAAAAATAAAATAAATAAGTATAAATATTATACCTACAAAGATATGAGTTTGTTGTCTAATTTGTGATTGTGATTCTGTTGACTGTTGTATATTTTTTTCTCCAGAGATTCTGCAAAAGTTGCAATTCTTGCATTTATTGCGTGATGTTACCAGGGATTGTTTTTTAATTATATCCTATAAGTGTTATTTTAACTGTGATATATACCCATTGATAATGTATATACCCGTATGTGTTTTATTATGTTTTATCTTCTATTGTAGTGGTTGCTTCCTTGTCGTTACTTCGATGATACTTACACTTAATGACTACAAGACTGTCATAAGATAAAATTATTTAAAATATAGAAATAATAATATATAAATTATAAATATATATAAAAGAAATAAGTTTTTTTGACATTAAGATTTAGTAATAAATTTGTACTGCCATTTTTGACGGGTACCAATAGTTTTTCTTCTCAGCCGATATTAATATTTTCATTGCAATTGTAAACGATGCGTTTTATTTTCTTCTTTTGTATAAGTATTATATTATTAAAATACAGATATCCTGTGAAATTTCAAAACCCCAATATTTTTTCTATAATATTATTGAAAATCTGGTCTATAATATTAATACTATATGCTTGTGTTTATTATTCATTTATATTTATTTTTACGCAGCTTCTCTAAATT